CAGAACATGAACATCCAGGTGGAGGACATCCGCATCCGCGCCATCCTGGCCACCTACCGCAAGCGGGTGCCGGTCACCGAGGGCTACGTGGAGGTGAAGGACGAGGGCAGCTGGAAGCAGATCTGTGACCGGCACTGGACCATGAAGAATTCCCGTGTGGTTTGTGGGATGTTCGGCTTCCCCGGRGAGAGGAAATACAACACCAACGTCTACAAGTAAGGGCGGGGTTCGGGGGGAAATTGGGGACTTGTTCCTGATGGGAATGGTGGAAAGCTAAATCTGGTTGCCATAAAGCAGAGGCTGAGCTAAAGGAAGGAAATAAAAAGCAGTTAATTTATAGATTTAATATATTATATATATACAAAATATATATAAATAATGTATATTAAAGATATTATATATATATTCATTCCCAATGAGAATGGTCAAAACCTAAATCCAGCTACCCTAAAGCAGAGGCTGGCAAAAGGAAAAACATAAAAAGCAGTTAATTTATATATTAAATATATTATATGATATATATATTTAATATATTATATATATTTAATGTTATACATCTATTTAATATGTTTTATATATATTAAATATATTATACTATATATATATTTAATGCTGTATATATTTAATATGTGTTATATATATATTTAATATGTTATATTATATATATATGTTATATTATATATATTATATATTATATTATATGTTATATTATATATATATATTATATATATATTCATTCCCCATGGGAAGTTTCAAAGCCTAAATCCAGCTACCCTGAAGCAGAGGCTGGGCAAAATTCAGACAATAAAAAATCACAGGGTTACAAATCCATGGAAATAGAGAAATTAAATCCCAGTTCTGAGATTCCCACCCTGAGCAGGAGCTGGGAACTCTCTGCGGAGTTGGGAGTTAAATTCTGGAGAATCACAGGATTTCACATAAAAATAGAGAAATTCAATCTCATTTCTGTGATTCCCACCCTGAGCAGGAGCTGGGAACTCTCTGTGGAGTCTGGAGTTAAACACTGAACAATTCCAGATTTACAGATAAGAATAAAGAAATTAAATCCCATTTCTGAGCTTCCCATCCTGAGCAGGAGCTGGGAACTCTCTGTGGAGACTGGAGTTAAACTGGAGAATCACAGGATTACACATAAAAATAGAGAAATTCAATCCCAACCCTGTGATTCCCATCCTGAGCAGGAGCTGGGAACTCTCTGTGGAGCCTGGAGTGAAACACTGAACAATTCCAAATTTACAGATAAAAATAAAGAAATTAAATCCCATTTCCGAGCTTCCCATCCCCTGCAGGAGCAGGGAATAAATCACCTCCAGACAGGCAAAGTGGATTTTTCCTGCTTCCACTTGCGGCCTTTCCAAGAAAAGCATTAACGGCAGCATCTGGAGCCGCCTGCCTCGAATTAAAGGGTTCTCAGGAGGTCTCGGGGACGCAGAGAAATGGAAAATCTGAGGGGTTTAGATTGTTCAGCATCGACTCAGCACTGCCGAAAATCCCACAGACTCCAGCTGGAATCAGGAACGTGGAACGTTCCCAAATCCCGGCCTGGGAGATCTCCGCTCCCAAAAAACCCCGGGCTTTTCAGCCGTGCTTGAGCATTTCCAAAATATCCCGCAGATAATTCGAAAAACGTGCTGAACTTTTAGCCCTGGCTGGAAAAAAACCAGTTTTAAGGGATGGGAGAGGCTCGGGGAGCCGCGGGGGTTTGTTTGTGAGCGCAATTCCGATGGTGAATTCCCAATTCCTGCTCGGGCCGCTGCCCTTGGAGTCACGGGCGGACGCGCCRCGGGAACGACCTGGGGTTTGTCAGGAAAATCGACCCAAAAACACCACARGGGTTCGTGTTTGTTCGTGAAAAAATTGATATTTATTATTATAAACTTTATATTCTATTATAAAGTTTATGGTTTTTATATTATTTTATTGTATTGCTCCTCTGTTTGGTTTTTGGATGAAAA